AAATGGGAGCATTCATTCACATTTTGGAACTCATCAAACTACTACATCCAACTGTTTTAATATTCTGTGACAAAATCATTTTACTGTAAATGAGGAAAAGGTAACTGAAGTCCATGTTAGCTAAGAAAAACATTTCACTTTGCTTCTGCCATTATGTTTTTCTGATGCTCATAAACCAAGTAATGAGTTTTAAAGTTTAAATAGTATGTGGGGCCATTATGAAGATCTAGTTTGCTAGTCAATTTTTCACAGAAAAGTGTGCTGCACAACTCCGCATAAAGAGAAGTTATTGTTTCAGATGATGAGGTCTATAAAAAGCTCTCTCCATGTAAAATTCGGGTGTTTTACCTTCACATTTCTGCTTTTGTTTGGATCATAAAAGTTAAGGACACTTAAAGAACACCACTAAATTTCAACAGTTGCTATAAAAAACATATTCTTAGAACCCTGGGTTTTAGATGGTAATGCTGTCTTCATGAAATTTGATGCTGTTTGTGTGTCCTCAGTCAATCTTTTAACTGATCAAGTTTGTTTGGTTTTGGTATAACCTATTCTCATCTTTAAAAAGTTATAACTATTTATCAGTGTTGGCTTAATAACAATCTTCTCAAATCACTCACTGCTTATCCATCTTCCCTTCCCACATATTCCCCTACCATTTAACATGGTACCTTACTAAATTATACAAAGAAAAGCGATAATGTGATACTGTCCTTTATGCATGCTTGTGTATTTGTATTTTTATAAGAAGATTCTTATACAAGCACATACATTTATAACTATGCACAAATATGCCCCAAAGCCCCTTCGCCTTGACCGAGGATTATCCCCTTTGTCTAAAGCCATCAGGAAGGCCAGTGCTCTGTATAAGCAAGGATGACACCCTGAGAGTCAAAATAAAAGTCTTTCTAAAATGCTTTGTCTTCCAAAGTTATTAGTAACCACTTAGCATTTTCTTGATGACAGTCAGCATTATGACCATCAGTGATTAGAATAAATGAAACAGCCAAAACACTGACTGGCCTCTGACATTTTTTTCTTTCTTGCATCCTTATATTTACTTCTTTTTTTTCTTTTCTTTTTTTTTTTTCATTTATTTTTATTAGTTGGAGGCTAATTACTTTACATCATTGCAGTGGTTTTTGTCATACATTGAAATGAATTAGCCATGGATTTAGATGTATTCCCCATCCCGGTCCCCCCTCCCACCTCCCTCTCCACCCGATCCCTCTGGGTCTTCCCAGTGCACCCGGCCCAAGCACTTGTCTCATGCACCCAACCTGGGCTGGTGATCTGTTTCACCCTAGATAATATACGTGTTTCGATGCTGTTCTCTTGAAACATCCCACCCTCGCCTTCTCCCAGAGTCCACAAGTCTGTTCTATACATCTGAGTCTCTTTTTCTGTTTTGCATATAGGGTTATTGTTACCATCTTTCTAAATTCCATATATATGTGTTAGTATACTGTAATGGTCTTTATCTTTCTGGCTTACTTCGCTCTGTCTTACAACTCTTCTATCTTTTCACTTTGCCATCAGGGTATCTATTTGCCCTTCTTACCACAGATCTGTGTACCTGCTTACAAGAGTAACTCCTTGAATTTTTTAATTTGTTGCTTGAAATCTGATGAAGGCTGGGAAATCCAATGGTCATAGTTATCAAGCTTTGTCTAAAATACAGAATGGCTCTTGTGATGTTGATTTTAGCTGTTGTAGACCATTCTGCCTCTTACTCAATAGTCTCTGTTAATAATAAAAAAATTACCAATTCAATGCATCTGGATATATGGGGATGAATTTTACACTGGGGATGACTAATTCAGGTTAATGCACTGAAAACAGTCAGAAAGGTGTTATTGCTAGAAAATTCTGAGAATTTTTATCAGACTTCTTCCTTAATTCTCATTACATAACCCAAAGCAGGAGAGAATTTTTGAATATCAAAATACTATAAATCAGTATAAAATCATATATACTGTAAATTTATTGTTTTATTACTCCAAACACCTAAAGACCCAGACATATCTCAGCAGCTCATCCAGCTGACCTGGTTATGTGAGACACAGCACCTGTGTCTTTAATCACCAAATTAAATACAAAGTCCAATGCTTCAGGAATCGTGGAACTGGGCAACGACATCAAAATATGCATCCTAAAAAATACTGATGAGTCTGAAAACTGAAAAGAAAGCAGTTCTCCCATAATTCCTTTCTATTAATTTTATATCCTATTGACCACATATTCCCATCTGAATCAAAGGACCAAAAAAGGAATCATAAATTGTGATCATCTGAAGATGCACTACTAACTGCTTAGTGACTGACGGATGTTTATAAATATAGAAGACTGCTATTCATAAGAAAGACATATGGACAGAGACACTAGTTCAGTTAAATGTCTGTGTCTCAGCATTATTGCTCAGCCAAGCACAAGGCTTAGCAGTGGGGTACAAAGAAATAAATGGAACCTGGTTTCTGCTCTTAGAGGTCTTATAGACCAGATTCTCTTCTAGAGGACATCCTTAGTAACCTAACAAGGAATAATTGAATAACTGGAGATATTTATCCTTAAATATGATGTGGAGATGTACAGTTCTTGGTACGTGACACGTCTTTTTTCTCTGGCTGCTTTTAAGATTATCTCTTTATTTCTGATTTTGAGCAATTTGATTATAATGTACCTTGGTATAACTTTTCCATGCTTCTGGTACAGTTTCTTGAATTGCTTAGATGTGTGAGTTTGTGGTTTTCATTAGATTTGGAATGTTTTCAATCATTTCTTCAAATAGCTTTCTTTTTCTCCTTTCTCTCTTGTCTTGTTTTGGACTCCATTAATACATATATATCAGGCCACTTGAAGCTCACTGATGCACTGTCCATTTTTTTCCTTTTTTTTCCTGTGTATTTCATTTTGTATAGTTTACAATCGCTATCTTTCAGTTCACTAAACTTTTCTTCTGCAATGTCTAATCTGCTATTGATTCCATCCCACGTATTTTTCATTTAAGATGCTATATTTTCAACTCCATACGTTTTCTTTGCATCTTTATAAATTTTTCATGTTTCTAATTAATTTTCTGAACATATGGAATACAGAGCTTAACTTTTGAAGCAAAGGTTGAAATCTTACAATCAACATCTTCTAGCGCTCAAAGACATTTCTCCATGTTTAACTTGTTCTTATAAGAACCTAACTATTTGGCAAGTAAAAATAATAATTCATTAAAAAATCAAAATATGGCAAACTTGCCATCATCTAGATGGCTTTGCATTTCAGATCAGACTCTGCTCTAAAGAGTATCCCTTCCCATCCCCTTTAATCCATCCTCCAAGGCAAGGGAGGCGGGTGGGGACTTGCAGCAACTTAGTGCTCTTGGGTGTTCAGTGACGACCCTTTGGCCTATGACATCCTGCATCTTTGAATCCAGCTTTGTGACTAACCTACATGATGTGGGGGGAAGTCGCCCATGACTGCTTCTGCTTAAAGACGATGCACCTGGGACACATTGAGATGCTTTAACTTTTCCAGAGCCACAAAGCTTAGAAAAGTTTTGAACTATGACTGGACTCAAAGCCTCTTAACTTTAGATGGAAGTTAAGACTCAGGACAAGTTCAAGGAAATGACTTCCATGACTGTCACTTTCCTAGCTCTGCAAGGCTATCCTCTGGCATTCTGCCTGGTGAGACTCTAATTTTGAAACTTCTCTTTGGATGAAAGCAAAGGACAAATTCACTTCAATCCCAGCTCCACCTGAATTCTTAAGGGACAACATTAGGGATGCCTTAAGGGCAGAGAGGGAAAGGAATAATTATGCTCATTCCTAAAACTCTTAAGAGAAGAGGTAGGCCCGGCATGCATGAGTAAGTAGCCAGCTCCTGGGAAGTATCATCAGGGGCTGGGTCCCAAGAGCTGTGCCCCAAGAGCTGGAAGGTCACATCCAGGAAAGACAGTGCTGCAGCTGAGACTGTAGAAATGGAAAAGATGATGGGAGGGACAGAGAAGTGACAAGAGGCAGGTATTGGAAGATCTGATAAGAAGAGAAGGTATTATGACAGGACAATACTGAAGCCAGTATGTGTGGTACCCATGGTACTGAGCTTCTGAGAGTGATCTAAAGCTATGTGTCTATATCAATATTGTTTTGAAGAAAAAATGAATGGTAAGGAAAGGAGTGATGTATGAATAGTCCAAAACTCCAAGCACTGATATTAAATGAATGGAAAATGGAAGGCTGAGGTTTAAACTCCTTCTCTTTATATTTTCCCATATTCCTTCATTCTTCTAAGAGGTTAACACTCTTTTATGCAAAAAGGCAATTTAGCTCATGTAACTAGCAGTGACTAAACTCAAAAATTCTTGGTTATCATGAATCCCTCCTTTCTACCCAAAAGGAAGGTCATGAAAACTTTCTGTGAGAACCCATCAGGAAGACTGTGTGTTTATAAAAATCCAGAGAAAAAGACACTCCTAGTATCTTTCCCAACCATACAATTGCTTTAATTTAACATTGTGCCAAAGATAACTAGTAACATTATTATTCCCTGTGATCCCATAATTTAAAAATGCAAGTGGTTCTTTTCCTTTGGGGACAAGACCAGCTACGATATTGCAGGATTCACAGGGGTTTTTATACGAGATGTTTGGGTTATCAACTCTGTCAGTGACAGTGCTTTGAAAAGCCTCGACATGTTCCCAGTCACCTCTGAAAAGGAAGGAACTCAACTACACAGATAGAATGGAAAGCATATCACCGCATCTTCCATGACTATACTGACATCTATTCCTCTGTGTTTTGCAGGCATCTTCAAGTACCTCCTTAAGAAGACTTTTTCAAAGAAATATGTTTCTAAGTCCAACAGTTCAATGGAACTCTTTTTTTTCTCTAACATCCTTAGAAAACTTGATTAGAATAGCACTCCTCAAAATTGGACTTCTCTTATTTTCTAAGAACCCTCTCGTGCTTCCAGATTTCTTTCTTATTGTAACAAACCAGTCATACCTTCCAGCTCCCTGCAGCCAGGTTCTGCAGGGCGCCCGCTGCCCCTTCCAGCGTGTCTGCATTTGAGCACTCAGACAGCAGTGTGAGGTAGGGTTTGACTATGGATGGGTGCCACAGCATCTGGATCCCTTTTGGTGGTTCTGCACAGTCTGGAAGAGGTCCTACTCCATCCCACTGGTGGAAGAGAAATGAGAGAGTAAACATCTTTAACATGGTCACACTTCCCACCACTGCCCTCTGCAAACATCCAAGACGAAAACCGAAGCAGGGTGCCATGACATTTGGAGAACTGCGGGCAGGATATGGCATCAGCAGTCCAAGGACCACCAAAAATGGGAGAGCCATTCCTGCCCCCCGAGAGCTTCTGATGGAGAGTGGAGGAGGTACATAAGTGAATGTAATTGGCAGTAGAACAGTTAAATGCTCTGAGAACAATTCTAGCAACCGTTACAGGGAGGAAGGAGAAAAGGTACGCTGATTTTGATTGGGCAGGATGAAGGAAGACTACAGATCAAGACAGCATACTTTACAGTAAGCTAAGCATACGATAGGCATAGCATCGCAGTTAGAGACTATCAAGTGCCCTCACTTCTTACACGCAAGTGTCAACTGTGATACATTTCTAAATCGCTTACAAAATACATATTTTGTCACTGCATCTATGAGCATCAAACTAATGACAGAATGTACAAAAGAGAGAAGATTGTTATGGTTTATTAGATATTCTGCCATGAGCTATAGGCAAATTTTGATTTTATAGAAATTCTGACGTTTGCTTTGAATTGAATCTAATAAGTTAACAAAATATATAATTAAAAATTAACTGCACATACATTTTAAGTTATGGATTATACACAAAAGGCAAATGAATACAGCCTTAAAAATGATAGCTTTGAAGATCATGTAGCAATTTGGATCAATGTTTACAACAGAGGTTAAAGCAGGACACAAAGCTGTAAGGGGTACAGCTGGGTACCAAGTAAAATGCATCATAAAAAAGCATAAGGATAATAAATATTTATTTATAAAGTGTGTATGTCTTTCATTTTTTGCTACATTTCTAATAGCCTGTTCTATCACTCTTATAATTTAAAAAATATTGAGTTCCAATAATGATTCTGATCTTTGATCACATTTAGCCTTTATCTTTCATTAAATATAAAGGCAATGGTATAATGAAGGTAGAAATGAAGCAATATGTGTAGAAAATATATTCCCATATTCATTTTTGAGAAAAGTCATAGTAAAACAGAAGGATTATTTTATAGTACTACATTGGGAATATCAAGCTATTTAACTCCTTATTTGTATTTATTAATGATTGCTGAACATATAATCTAAATGACATATATACTAAACTTTCTCACAGATACCTTATGTACACAAATATATGGGCATGTGTGTCCATATACATGTATGTATATCTATGAAGACAAAATTGTATTTCAGAATCTGTTAGTGACTTCATTCTGAAATTTTACCTGGAAGAAAATATAGCTCATGCTGTATCCTTGTAACAAAAATAGAAGTGTTGATAGAAATAATAAAAGTTTTTTTTAACAGACATTAAGAATTGCAAGAATCTCATCGCTTATTTTCCAAGAGAAAAATTAAAAAGCCATACCTTCTTTTTCTCTATTATGATACAACTTAACTTAAGGCTAAAGCACAGAGATGAATGACATTCCATCAATGGGTGAGGCATCAGATTAAAGGTCATTTTCAATGAGAGTGTCACTCAATCTCAAATTTATAACAAGAACACTCAAAGTGGAGACCTTCCTGTTCTTTCAACTTAAGCCACTTCTAAACTGTTCAAAGAAGACTTTACACCTGTGCACAGCCTATCAATGAAACCAGTCCATCTTTAAAAATGAAAGTGAACCAGACTTGTCACATTGCTCCTGGTTCATTATTTGAGGCTGGCTCACTGCCCTGGATAGAAAGAGAGCAGCAGGCAAAAGGAAACAGTCCTTTTGCAGATTTGTTAACTTCGATGCTGAAGCAGGAGTGATGTTGGCTTCTCAAAAGAAACCAGCTGGGGGGACTGAATTTCTCTGCTACTGCAACAGGAAATGGAAAATTCTTTTTTTTTTTTTCATTTTTGTAGTGATCCAAGGACAAAGAGAGCAGACAGAACCAAGGGGTGACTTGGAATGCAGGAATGGAAAAAATAGACCCTTATCATCTTTCCCTCCCCCATGTTATTAAAACTGTTAACGGATTTCTGGTTCTCCTGAGCAGTATAACCTGTCTTCCCTCCTACCCCATAGGGAGAAGGTATTTGCCTTACTCTCCCCCCAACCCAGTATACATGCCTCATCCAATCAGCAAATGACCCACAAGACCCCTATCTCACTCCTTGTACCCTTGGTTATAAAAGTGGACTAAGGACCCCTGTTCAACATCGGTTCTCCCTTGAGCTGGCCCACTGTTCTAACAGTGTCTCCCACTCTAATAAATTTTATTTCCCTCTCATTCTGTCTCATGTTTGGAAATTCTTTTCCAACCCTCACCCGGACCACAATTTTGTCATCTCCTTAAAACTCTGAAGCTATCATTTTCATATAAAGATTTAGATTTCACATAAACACTCAACTCAACATTGATGAAATTTCCCTCTCCCTAAGAGCCAAGACAACAGAGGGAGGTATACAGAAGCAACGTGTGCATGCTCATTACAACATGCGATAGACAAACTATAAAAAGTGCAAAAAAAAAAAAATCTGTGTTATCATTTGCTGGGTTTCATCTGGTCCTTTTTTTTCTAACTTCTGTGCAACAAAACAGGATAAACGGCTGAATCAGTAGACGGTTTTCCTCCATTCTGACATGTGATCTATGTAGATCTTAAATACCTTTCATGACAATCATTTCTCAGTGGCTACAGAGAAAATCTGAAGGCAATAAAAGGAAAACTGATGTGAATACAGATAGCCTTTGACAGCAAGGAGAGGAGTTCAAAGGGGATTCTGTGCTATTTCAGAATGCTGATGACACCCTGGCACATCAATACAGAGGAAAAAGAACCATCTCAAAGCCAGGGCATGCCGCCTTTATCTGGGTACTTTCCTCAAACTTCTATTGAGTTAATAGAGAAAGAAGTATCGATCGACTGTCCATTATAAAATAGATTTTGATCACCTATATAAGACTCAAAGTCTTCTTTAAGAGCTGTGCTAACACCTGATGTCATGTCGCCTAGCCAGTCAATACCCACAGGACTATAGGGTCATGGTGACAGCAGAATCAGACTGAAGTCATGAAACAATCCCGCAGTTGTACACTTTGCTCTCCTAAAGCAACGATCCACAAGAAGTCAAGGGATATACAACTCATTTACCAAAATACCGGAAACACATCATTTATAAATTTAAATACAAGATGCATTTACCCTAAAATTTCTTCAAAACTGCCCCAGGGATTGAAGAAGGCAAGCACTGGCTAAGTCTTCAGCACAGCCAAGACACTGATCACCCAGCTATTTTAGTCCTGAGAACACAGAACTCAAATTTATAAGTAAGCCTTATGCAAACTGTATATGTTTTTTAACCTTTTGCTTTTGACTTTTAACAGGGCATATTATCAAAGTTTTCCTAAGAACTTGACATGTGAAAATAATATATAAAGAAACAAAATGCTGCCCAGTCAGGAGGGAGAACTTTCTGTGTCCTGAACCCAACGCAAAACCAACAGAGAAGGTATTTCCAAGAAACTAATAGGGTTTTTGTTGATCATATTGGCTGCATCACTGCTAAGTGGTGACACAGAAACACGCACTCACACACAAGGAAAGAGGCTCTCAACAGACACCGAGTCTGCCGGTCCCTTGGACCTCCAGCCTCCAGGACTGTGAGTAATAAATGTCTGCTGTGTACGCCACGCGGTCTTGGGCATTTCGTTACCGCAGCCTGAGCTGAGCACGACCGTCACCCCAGCAAGAACCAAGGCAACACGGTCTCAGAGGTAGGAGGACCCTCCAGCTGTACCATGACTTTCTTGCCATGGAGCTTTCTTGAGGACAGGCTGGTAGCACAGAAGGAGTGTGTGAGGCAGGGTTATACTGAGAGTAGATCACAGAACAAACAGGCTGGTCTGTCATCCCAACTAGCTCCACATTCAACACTATATCGTCAGAACTTTTTTTTCAGTTAAATGTGTATTTATCAGACTATTTTCCACTGTAAATTATTACCAGATATACAACATAGTTCTCTATTGTTGGGTCGGTAAGTCCGACCCTTTTGTAACCCCATAGACTGTAGCCTGCCAGGCTCCTTTGCAATCCATGGGCTTTCCCAAGCAAGAATACTGGAGTGGGTGGCCGTTTCCTAACCCTAACCCTAAATCTTCTCCAGGGGATCTTCTTGACCCCGGGTCAAATCCATGTCTTCTGCACTGGCAGGAGGGTTCTTTACCACTGAACCACCAGGGAAACCCTACAGTTCTCTGTGCTATATAGTAAATCCTTATTATGCTTATATTTTATATGTAATAGTATAGCATACTTGCCTGCACAATCCCCAAGGACAGAGAAGACTGGCAGGCTACTGTCCACTGGGTTGCAAAGAGTTGGACACGACTGCGCGATTAGGCACAGCACAGTGTATATCTGTTAATCCCATGTTCCTAATTTATCCCTCTTCCATTTCCCCTTTGGTAATCACAAGCTTGTCTTCTGTGTCTGTGAGTCTATTTCTGTTTTGCAAATAAGCTCATTTCTACTACTTTTTAGATTCTATATGTAAGTGGTATCATAGGTTTGTCTTGCTCTGTCTGACTTACTTTACTTAGTATGATCATCTCCAGGTCCATCCATGTTGCTTTAAATGGCATTATTCCTTTCTTTTTTATGTACCAGTATTCTTCTTTACTGGCTTTAAATGAATGACTGATATCAATAAAATCAATCAGTGAAAAGTTTTATATCATTTACTTCTTAAAATGGCCAGAATTGGAAACACGTATTCTTTCTCTCTGAGAAGGTAGTGCTCAAATATTTTCAAAAAGGAAAAGAAGAAGACGCCCCCATATTAGATGCCAAGGGGCTGCTGAAATCTGGACACGATGTTTTTTGATGTGGTCACGGTCAGGGAAGAATAGACACACCCGCTGATTGTAAGGAGCGTCTGCTGAGAAAGGGAAACACAACACGGCTGTGGGAATGGGCTCAA